CTTACACAATAAAAAAGATTAGAGGTTACCTTTTTATGAGTACCGCTCTTTTTATATGGGATACTACATATGCATTGGAGGCAGTTATCAAAATAGTAAGGTTATATAAGTATATCAAATATTCTAAAAATTAAACACAACAAAGTAAAAATCATTTAGGGTATAATATGAGATGTGAAATATCTTAGATGTATATATATATAGTAATTTTACAACATTTCGTTGTACAAAAGTTTAAATTTTAATGTAATAATGTAATAATAATATTTTAATTGTTAACATAATATTTGTACAATAAAATATATCAATAGAAACACATATACAGGGTGTCCCGTAACTCCTCGAACACCCGGAAATGGGGGGTAGCTGAGGTGACTCTGAACAACCTTTTCCTTTTCCAAAATCCAGTTTGAAGCTTCGTTTTTGAATTATTAACGAAAAACACTGGCCAATTACAGCGCGCGTAGAGCCCGCGCTCAGGGACGGCCGAACAGAGATGCACCCGCGCGAGCGAACAAATGCGTACGCGTGACCGCCTTCAGGTATTTGAGATGTGTAATGTACTGTTTGTCCGCGAGAAGAAAGTAAGGCAGAGTGTTTACGCTCTCACTCTACTAGTTCCCCTACCACCACACGCATTATCTTCGTCACTGTCCTCGACCAATAGCAATAATGCGTGGTGGTAGGGGAGCTAGTAGAGTGAGAGCGTAAAACACTATGCCTTACTTTCTTCTCGCGAACGAACAGTATTTAAGTATATTTTTTTTAATTACTACAAAAATTTTCAATCTATAAGAAACGGATGTAGTATTCAATAATATTTTGAATTTAAAACAGTTATTTCAAAATAATTGCATATTTTTCTTATTTATATTATAATAATTAGTTACTATTACCTACGCTTATATGTTCATATATACAAATGCAAAATTTTATCTGTATCATTAAAATATTATTATTTAATTGGAATAAATTTACAATTCGTGTAAATTTAAAAACTTTGTAAATGTATGTCTGTTAAATTAAGGTGAAAGGAATATCTAAATTAATTTCAATCCTAAAGGTTGATCCACATTGCACATATGTACTACAATGTAAATATAATTATGAAGCATAATTTCTAATTAAGTAAGGTAATATGAAATTTATAATTATAAATAATAATTTAATTTATTATTCGCAATTCAAATTTATAGCGTACAATCTTTTTAGACTACCTTAATAGTCATAAGAACTTGGCATAAAAACTTACCATAAGGTTTTATTCACGATTGCGCACAGAGTATGTTCGCAGTCGTGCAAGAGTCCACATGAGCCTGTTGCCAGTTATTGATCCTGACACGATTAGACAACACTGCATTGCTGTCAACTACGAAAACAATTCTGGTCACGCAGTATTTGTAAAAACGTGCTGACAAACCATCACGGTAACGTGTGCGTCTATAATTATACAAAGTACTGCGATATCGAAATGTGTTGTGTCTCTTCGGCGTCATCGTTAATCTGTCAAAATGTAAAAACGGTCCCACAAGACTTGAAATATCGATAAGTGACATTTGCCATTGATACGCAAAGATGTCATCAGTAGTTTTCCGCGAAAGATGAAACTCTTAAATAGAACGTATTACAAATTCTCGTTATTCAGAAATTTCTAACTGTCTTCCGATTTAATTTTTTCAATACTTCGTATTTAACTTGGAACTTTAGGAAGACTTGAATTTGTGTTGCTGCTGCACATGTGATCCTCTAGGTGTTATCTTCAGTCCGTAATGAAGAAGTTTACAATTAAAGGTGTGCTCGACGGGTTCCGATCGTCGGTACCTCAACCCGTCAAACCGGATCAAGAAATCGTCGAAAATTTACGGTCGGAACACTTTCAAGTAAAAAAGGTCAGTGACAATAATGTATTACTAATTTTCAGTTATACTCATATAAATGTATTTTAAACAATTATATTTGCTGTCAAACATGCACAAAATATTTACGTGTGTATTTTTCTAAATGTATGATTATCTCTCTCTCTCTCTCTTTCCTTCTTTCTCTCTCACGCTCTTGTTCTCTCTTTTCTTTTTTAAATTTACTTTTTCGTAATATATGTGGAATGACTTAATTGATTAAAAAGCATTGGTTACATTCTACACTGTTCTTGCGTTTGACTTTATATAAATTTGTATGTGTATATATATATATATATATAATATACATATAATGTGTTAGTAAAATCATCAACGTTATCGCCGTGAGTATATAATACTGTGATATTGCTGCTGTTAGCAACGCGTGCGCGCATTCGAGATATTGTATAAATAAACGTTATTGAAATTAGTTATTATTCTTACTATTATATACATTATTTTGAGTTTGATATATGTAATTGAAAATTTGAATAGATATAAAACATAAATATTGTTAAATTAATTACTTATGTCATAAGCGAACTGTGTTTAGTGTAATTTTTGTGATAAATGCATGAGAGAAAAAAAACGTGTGTTAGTGTAAATTGTGAAACCGGATGCACCATTATTCTTTTGCACCATCTTGCGAGGACTCACAGAACTCTCTTGCAATTTCAAATTTCTTAAGTTGTGCAGTATTCTTGATCATATTCTAATAGTAGTATTTTCGTGTAATATCATTTGGTTATTTAAGCTTTTTTTAGAACTATTTATTCGCATTTTGGTTAAATATGGGTATTCGGTACCTTGATCACTTATTGAGTACTTAACCTTTCTAAGTGGGCGAGAATTGTCGTATGAAACGAGTAAACGCCATACTCCAACAGGATACATATACGTGTCATTCGTTTATCTTAACACATTGTACGCTTGAAAGATTTAAGCTGTCTGAAATGTATGGTACGGGTATACCGGGGATGCTTCTGCTATTCGAGACGTGAGTTTTGCTTTCGCTTATTCACAAGTTAAACATCAATGCAGAAAAAAAATAGAAACGATAATAAATGATTGTAACCAGAGAAAAAATGGTATGTATATTCCGATAGAGTAATTACGCCTACGATGGAACTGGCGTACAATGGTTTACGTGTATGTGAATATGTGATCAAAATAACATTTATGGATCGTGTATTAATATGATATATTTAAACGAAGTATATAGGTTCATTAATGGAAATATAACAGTCAGGTTAATATAACAGCATTCTGGTATTCTGATGTATCGAATTTCCAAATTTAAATCACTATTATATCGGTAAGGAATTTTGAAATGTACAATTTTTATGTCTTTAATTTATAATGCAAAAGTTTGGTTACTGATTGACCAACTGGTAACGATAAAAGTCTTAGTTTATTGCTACGACTGGTTAGTTTAATTTTTGAAAGCAAATGATGTAGATTTTCGTTTCCTTTTTTTTTTATGCAATAAGTTGATAAGGTACACGAGGTAGCCAATTATGACGCAGTGAGTTGGTATATTCAAGTTTGTTTACATAAGACGATCGAAACTAGCTGTGTGGAAATGAGACAATTGCGCTTATTTATTAATTTTCGAATAATTATTCTTGAATTAATTTCCTTACCCGAGGAAACTAAGAATAAGTGGTAGCATTCTTATTTTCATAACCTGTAATTAATTGAATTATTATTTTCCATTAAATCAAGCAAATATAATTGAAATATTAAAATGCTTCGTTTATCACGCGAAAGCATTACGTTTTCTAGAAATGTCGATGTACGTTCTTTGTTATCGTTCTCTCCGTTAACAAGTTTATCCTATAAAGTAAGAAATATGGCTAGGAGAACGAATAAATGGCTCTTCCGGCGTGATACTTTGTCATTTTCCGTGAATAAGGAGAATCTAATTCCTGGTTCGACAAATGGCCGATATAGGATTTGTTCCTGAACCGAAATAAATATGGTCTGCTTGTATTGTTCCTCCACAAAATATTGTCCCATTTTCTGGTATCATCAGCGCATCAGTTTTGATAGGAATTCTACGATGCGAATCACATTCTCTGTTTCACGCTTGAGAGGGTAAAGCGGTATTCAAACTAGTGCAGCAAACGTTACAAAATAGACACGTAAAGGATGTTATTCTTTTGATGGGGGCGAGTGTAGGCCGAGATTTGCTGCGCTCTGTCGATAACAATATCGAAGCGAATTCTTCTATATCATGCGTGTCAGTTTTTCCATTTTTAAAAGCAACTATGTCATCTGCATTAATTGTTTATTGATAAACGGCAGTCATGTAAAGCTGTTATATTATATCTTATTATTCTGCTACATTGTACTTTATACAATATTTGATATTGATTTACAATAATATGAGAAACAAAAAGATCAACTTATTACAGTCATGGATTTATATGCTTCTTTACTTTACATTACAATTATAAATAATAATTTATATTGAAGATAATTGTAGATAATGAGTTACGGATTAATATAGCAAAGCTACACGTTCACTACCACTGCCAAAGCATCGTTGGTACAGAATGTGTTGTCTTGTGTGCCAGCGTCGACAGTGCGTAGGAGTGTCGGTCGGTCACATCAAAAGTTGATGTCGCCGCTTTGTGAGAGACGACTACTTGGAACGCCGAGGCGGCGTGTGCCTGTGCATGCCTTGCGGAGACTACGTATCGGCGGCACACGGTATGCTTCTTCTGATTTTCAGACGGTAGTGAACGTGTCAATATCCACGTAAAACATTGATATATTTAGTATATACATAGGGTGAACCACATAAAGTATTATATTTTTCCTGAAATTATAAAGATTGCGAGGAAATTCTTCTTGTGTTCTTTGTGGTTTATTAGTGCTTCTTAAATAACGCCTTTTTTATTTTTTTTTTTTGTCAATATTATTGTCAAACTGAATTGATCAGTATTATTGATCGTGTGTGAGACGCTTTAGAGGGAAGCACTTTCGATGGTAGGAAGAGTTATATTTCATTGGGTACTTTTTAAATCCAACAAACCGATTGGTCAATTCTTGACCTTGGAACGTCGCATTTGACGGTTAACCGTCAATACATTTCCTATTCTGTGACAAAACTTTCACGAAATATGACTGTATGACTTGTATGGTATTACACGATCAATTTAAAATTTTAAAAATTCTAAAGTTATTCTCCCTATCTATCCTCCTAAGGGCTAAAATGTGATTGGACCTTAACATTATAAACAGGAAGTTATATAGATTCGGTCATTGACGTTAAAATGACAAGAAACTTTTTTCTAATTATTCCCCTTAAAAGTTACAAGCGTTTGAAGTTGGAACTAAAATAACTTGGTTAATTAGGGCTATTTGAAATTAAAGGTGATACGAAATAGCATTATACTTTCTTCTGCATATTTTCATTAAAATATCAAATGGTAAAAATGATGTATGTTTTTTTTTTTATAATTATGTTCTCATTGTCGACTTCCTCCACAGACTAGTAACAAGGCATGATTATCACTATTGTATTTCGTAATTACTGTTACACTTAGCGTATGTATATGTATATATTTCCTTCATATTGAATCGTACATTTTTTTCATGCATGATATCCTAGTAAATACGTAATGCGTAATAATATTTAAAAATATACTATAATAGTGATAAATTACTACTACTGTTATATAAAATGGTATTTGAAGAAAAAAAAGAAGGTATGTCCACACTATAAAATTTGAACTAGTGAACCTTTAATTACAAATTTACTATTCTATCAGCTTCTCTATCACAACTGCAATAATGTTGTTAAGTAATTCAGTATAGGGTTAGTTTATTGAAAATTTCGCGTTAAATATCTTTGTAAATAATGTGCATTGGCAAAAACGCTCGGATATCGATCTACTTATTTTCGTTCTAGATTCACCAGAAAAAGTTTAGTTAAAATCGACGATGCCCATAGCTGTATGACCTCTCCTTGTAAGCTAAATATACTTACATTGAAAGTTCGAGGAACAATGCTATCTTTTACTTCATATCGTTTGTTCTACAGCCTTTGGGGTTGAATAGACTTCCAGCTGACGAAAACAGGAAACATGAAATGAAACAAATGCCTTTATGTTTCAGACATTCAGACATGGATTTCCACATCAGCCGACAGCAGTGGCATTCGATCCAGTTCAAAGACTTCTTGCTATTGGCACTAAATCTGGATCTCTTAGAATGTATCCTTTGACAATATTGTTAACACGAACCAAATGAATATGTAATCAGTTTAATGGAAATGAAAATAGTAATTTATGTTTGAATAATGTTTTGTGAATAATTTTCTGGAAAAAGAAAAAAGTGGAATATTATAAGAAGATAATACACTGTGAAACGGTAGTTTTTTTCACTTTTATAATTACGTTTCGAATGATTTGTCAAGTTTTCTTTATCGAAAAATTGGCCTAGTAAAGTGATCGAATTTGACTGAATTAATTACAATCCGCAGTTGGTTTGTGGTTCGTCAACCATGTGTTCTTTCACATGGCTGCCTTTATTGGTCTGCTCTCCTGTCCTGGCTAAAGAGTTATCAGGCAGTGGATGCTCATCACAGCTCGATAAGTTTCCTTGTTGCCATCAAAACAGGCAAATGCTACAAAGTAACTACTTTCATCTGAACGCTGCGCGCTTTATTGCTCAATAAAATCTCCGAACATTCTACAAAGAATCGATGCTGCATCTGTAAAACAATGCAACAAATTGTTTTAACAAGGAATATTATTAAATTTTGTACGAATAAAACGAGAGATACTCGTTATTTTCCTTAATTGAAACGTTACGAGATAGTTTGGGTCGACCAGGTGTGGATGCACACGTGAAACACGAGGGATGCTCAACTGTGGTACAGTTGCAGTTTTTAATTAATGAAGGAGCATTGGTATCCGCCACCGCGGATGATACTTTACATCTATGGAATTTTCGACAGAAAATACCACAGGTGGTGCAGAGCCTCAAGTTTCAAAGGGAAAGGTCAGTTTTTCGATCGTTTTGAAATTTTTCTGTGCATCGAAAAGTTGTTCCTTGTAACAACAAAGGAAATATTTGTAATAATCGATTCATAATCTATTGTATTTTAAACAGAATAACATGCATTCACCTACCGTTACAAAGTAAATGGCTGTATGTCGGTACGGAACGAGGAAACATTCACATACTCCATATTGAGACGTTTGTTCTTTCTGGATATGTAATTAATTGGAACAAGGCTATTGAAATGTAAGTACGCAAATGCTTATTTAACGATGTTCTAACTTCTAGACATGATTGATAACTATGAAGTGTCATAGGTATAGTGTGTCATAGGTATATGTGTACTGTAGAATAAACAGAATGAGGGACACACATTTTCAGAATGGAATGATATCTCCTCGAAGCAGGCTTGTTTTTTTTTTACTCTTATATTTCTGGATTGTTCCCTGATTAATGAGTAGTTTTCGGTTTTTTGATCAAATGAGTCGAACGATGAAGCTTAATACTTTGTTGTAGTTGGTAAAAAAAATTTGAGATAATAAGTTTCTAACAAACGGAAGTTCTATTATTTGTTTCTAAAGGAAATGAATGGTTTTCTTTTTAAGTTACTAAATGTTCGTTAGATTTGAAATATTGATTTAACTATGCCGTTTAAGTATCGACTGGAATGATTCTCAAAAAGATGAGTGAAATTAAAATTAAGGAAGCTAATTTAGAATCACAAATACGTCATTAGAATGTGTGCATATGTATAATGTGTGAATGTATGGGGATAATGTTAATCCCAAGGCCAGTGAAGTTGCACGAGATCTATCTTAAAAAATACTTGTTCCGAATATTTCGTTTGAGAGCAAAATGACAAAAGGAATTGTGAATTTTGTTGTAAGAATAATGTTGACTAATATACAGGATGTTTAGTAACACGTAGTAGAAATTTTAAGAGGTCCAGTGTTTATTTTACTGTTTTATAAGGTGTTACTTATTATGTATGTACATGTTATTAGTCGATGGAAGAAGCAATAGCTCTATTTTATGTCAATTTATTTTCCAAACGCTTCGAAAAACATGTGTACTTTCATTTTACAACCACGTTGTATGTATTTCTTCCGCCAAGTATACGCGTTACGCACAAGCACAGCTTTCATCTGTTTTAATTTCCGGTACGTACTTCTTTCAGTTTTATTCTCTCATTTTACTTCTATAGATACTATGAATTGAGTAACTGATTCGTGCAGATATTGGAGTCTAAAAAGAAGCGAAACGAAGCCGGAAATTTTAGTAGAAAGAAGGGAACCTTGTTACTTAACCGTACCCAAAAAATGATTTACATGTGTTGAAGTATATATGAACTAATCTTGTATGAAAATACATAAGGCATAATAGATAACACGTATGAACACAACACACACATAACCACACACACACACACGCGCGCGCGCGCAGCTATACTGCAACGCAATACTTAAACGCCCGCGTGCGTGCGTACACATACACATACCACACATAATACACACGTAACGCGCGCACACACACACACCACGTATATAATATATGTATATATATTTTCCAGATCTAGAAAGACCCATCCTGGTGCGGTAGTACACTTGAGTGATAATCCTTTAGATTTGAGCAAGGTACGCGTGTTTTTGAGTACGTTTTTTTTGCATTATTCTCCATCCTTACCATAACGTCATATATACCTTACATTTTCTAATAATATACACACACACCACACCACACCACAGACTACACGCACACGTGCGAGATTATGTATGTATATATATCATATATGTGTATATATATAAAATCTCGAATTACAAAGTGGTATCATGATGTTGAGGATATTCGCAGAAGTCATTCTAACATTCTTTTCTAAACTTTCCTTAAGGTGTTTAATTGTAACAAGACTGAGAAGTGTGTGTTTGCATGTTGTGTGTGTGCATGCGTGCATGCCATTATTGTCATACGAACGGATTTAACGAAGCTGTCTCTTTTTTGATAAAATATCGTTTAATTTATTATTAATATACATATACAGATGGAAAAGTAATGGTTTTAGAAATTTAATTTCTATTTAATTTTACACGAATTCAATGTTAAAGGACAAACAAATTTCCTTCTATTTTTTTTCCTTTTTTCTCTCTACAGTAGACTTGATTTCCTTTCTCTCATTGTCGTCCCGCAATTGGTATTAATTTTAACTTGTTTCTTCAAATTCCATTACTTTTGCATCGATTCATCGGATCATAGTGATACTGCGTTAAAATTTACGAAGGGCTTAATACAAATCTATCTTGCAATCATGATCACTCATCTTTTTATACATTTTACACCAGTTCATCATTAGTAAAATTCTGTTAGTCTTAAAATAAATAAATATATATATATATACACAGTGTTGTCACCTAACTCGTACATTTTGAATAAATTCTGAATTCTACGTTGCTTGAAAGTAGTCTCATCGAGGACATTCCACAACGTATGGTACTTTATTACAGGCGAGACTTGGGTATTTTATGTTTCTTCGAACTTTCAGACAAAAATGCGCTTCATTATGTGAAACGAAAAAAGAATGTACGCAACGTTTAAGTCCCCTTGAGATTATGCAACAATTTTTCAAACCATACATAGTTCAGAAATTATTCAGGGTTTGCGAGTCTAGCGGTGCACCTTGCACACTGAGTTAACTTAATTCGTTCCATATGTATATAAGATGTTTATTGAAGATATTTAATATGTATAGTTGAGAATATAAATAAGTAGAAATCAATCGACTCATAACAAAATTTACGTAGTTTCGGACAATTTTACATACGTGCATGCGTATCAGGGATTTAAATAAATTACATTATATTGAGTGTTGTCACATGGTGATTCAAGTAACTTATGTAGTATATTACCGGAAAGGCTAATGAAATCTGGAAAGACTACCAACAACAATAAGTTATACAATAAGTGTTTTTTTGAGATAGAACAAACATTTTTTGCAGAAATAGAAATGTTATTTCAGGCCTCGTATTTTACGAATTATACTTTACTGATTATTAAATAAATAAAAATTGTTTTCGCTGATATCGTGAAGTGATTCTTGTAGATACATTAAACGATATCGAAGGTAAGATTACAACGATGTGCTTTTTTTATGGAAGAATTTTACAAAAATGAAATTTAAACAATTTTTGTTAAAAAAATTACATAGCAATACCGTAAGAACTGTATATTGTTTGCTAGAAATAAAGTCACTCTTGAATACTTATTGTACCGTACAATATTTTATTTAATAGTTTTATTTATTCGTTTATTGCACTTGTTCGGGGAGAGCTACATGTTTTTGATGTTTTATGTCTGCAAGTTTGTCATGAAACATATCGATAACAAATATAGGGGAGCAGTATTAATATTCCCTGAAGGCCTTGGATTTGTCGACTTACGTTACAGTTCATGATTACATACATTCCCAGAGAGATTCGTACATTTGAAACAAGGTCAAATTTTAAGAATCATTTTGCACTACATTTTCATATTTGTTCTTGTTCTGTGTGCGTAATTTGTATTATAAATTATATCAGTATATTTTACGGGACTATCTTTTACTATGAAATCTCACATACAATACCTTTTCTTAGAATAGTTATTTTACGATATGCGTATGATACCAAATTTATCATGCTTCAAAACTTTGCTTTCAGATGCTGATAGGATATGAGTCCGGACAAATAGTATTTTGGGACTTAAAAACAAAAAATGCAGATTACAGATGCCAAAGCGAAGTGCCCTTGAGATCGATATCGTGGCATCACGAGGGTAAACAGTTCATGAGCAGTCATACTGATGGCTCTCTGTCAACATGGACGATGCGTCAATTAAAACCAACAAATGTAACGCACCCACATGGTGAGGAACGTTTTCTCGCTTCTTTCTTGTATCTTATGCATGTAGAATGTTATTTCGATAATGTCAAATTTAGCGATACGTTAAATTTCTTAAAGTTTGTCTCTGCTTGTCTGCCTGCCTGCCTGCATGTATGCCTGTCTGCACTCCCGCTTGTCTGCCTGCCTACCTGCATGCCTGCATGTGTGTATCTGTACCTGAAAGGGTGTGAGTGAGTGATGTATATTACTATTGAACAACATCACTCACTGGATCTTGAAGTTGATATGAGAAATTATTAAAAAAATGATGCTAGTGAATAATGAAAAATGTATATGTATTAATTATTGGTCCTATGTTAATTGTTACTTGCATTAACTGTTCAAATTAAACCTTGAAATGTACATGATACATAATAAGATCCAAAAGTTTCTAGCTAGACTACTTTGTATGATGTGTTTTTCTGTTCCAAGGTTATAGAGATGTTAATATAGTGCTCTAAGAAATGTATGAAAATAAAGCAAGTCTATATACAAAAAGAAAAAAGGTTTTTCTAATTTTCTTTTGGACTTTACTACATACAGTATTTTAGTAGATTATTAGAGTGAAAGTTCTTATACATTTTTGATACCCCTTTTCATTTTTAATAGAGATTGGAACTATAAGATTTGCTTAAATTACAATTATTTTATTCACTCAATATCGTTTAGTTTTGCGTTTGAATGCATTGAGGTAATAGTAATGTTTATTTAATAGTAAATAATTATATTGCATATTTACTTCAGGGTTATTTAATCCCAATCTTCTCTACAACCTTTATTTTTTATTTAAAGTAACATGGAAGAAAGAGTCATTATATGCAAATTTATAGTAGGCAGTTATATGTTAAAATATATAAAATGTATTTCTAGGGTGTTACATGTTCCATATTATTATATTTATATATTATCCACAGCAAAAACTACTAAAGATGGCGAACCAGAACCTTGCAAACCAATACAAAAGGTCGAGTGGAAGCTGTCTAGATCAGGGTGAGATATAATTTATTTTTCTTGCGTTTCTAATATAATTATATTTTATACTATAAAAATGCGAGATTTGGATATTATACGATATTGTTCTGATTACTTTAGGGAAGCATACGTTATATTTTCTGGAGGTTTAGCGTATGACACAACTGGACGAACTCCAAGCATAACGGTGATACACGGAAAAACCACCACTGTATTAGAAATGGAACATAATGTGATAGACTTTATAACACTGTGTGAAAGTCCATGGACCAGTGGTATATATAAACAAAATTATTAAATTTCCTTTTCAAACTACTTAGCATATAACATATACATTTCAAAAAATATAGTATTTCTCAATAAAATCATGCAACATACAAGATCGTTGAATTCGTCTCGTTGCGCTCTATTATTTCGTAGAAAAAAATATACTATGTGTCCTAGTTTCAGAAATATTAGCATTTATAGATTAAAAGTGGGTCACCTTGTATATATTCTGATATATTTTATAATGCATTGCAAGAAACTGTAATGACTAATCATCTTCTTTTGCTTGTATAGATTACCAAGATCCATACGCCGTTGTGGTCTTACTACAAAATGACTTGGTTGTGATAGATTTATTAACTCCGGGATTTCCCTGTTTTGAGAATCCGTATCCAATGGATATACATGAATCGCCAGTGACATGCTGTGCGTACTTTGCAGACTGTCCCTCGGATTTGGTGCCAGCTTTTTATTCAGTTGGTTCAAAATCTCAAAAAAAGACAGGATTTAGTGAAAAGGATTGGCCGATATCTGGTGGGGAATGGAGTTCAAGTTCGAGCAGTTATAATGAAATTATTTTGACTGGGTAAGTAATTTCAATTTTTAAAAGACGAATATCCATTTATAGCGCGTATTTATGATAGGACTCTAGGTATAAGCATAGTCTCATGCACTTCGACGCGGTAATTGATAATTGTATTAATTTAATTTCAGACATGCCGATGGCAGTATAAAATTTTGGGATGCATCCGCAGGCACTTTACAAGTTCTTTACAAATTGAAAACAGCGAAACTTTTCGAGAAGGGTAGAACGCGTAGCACAGACTCGGAAGAAGATCCGTTAGCGATACAGCTTATCTATCTTTGCCCCGAAAGTCGGAAATTAGCAATTGCGGGAAGTGGAAAGCACGTTGTTTTATTTAAGTTTAAAAAAGTTGAGAGTATGTCCGAAGTAGTGGTGAGTAATTTATTTTTTTCGCATATAATCTTAATGATAATTAAAGATTTATATGGTTATGATAGCATCTATTATTTTGTAATACTTTAATAGTTATTAACGATTAGATAGCTGAAAATTTATCGCATATATGCTAAAAAGTAACACAACAATGTTTACTAATTTACCTTAGTTTTAATTCCACGATCATTTTGTTTTTACAACAGTATTATGATATTAAGATATGATAGGAATTCATTGGCGTTTACTGTAGACTTTGGAGATATCACTGACAGCAGATTCAGGAAAGGAAATCGAAAGTTCGTCTGATCATGATTCCCCCGCTGGTGGTAATACATCGGGAACTGGCGAATCGAAAGTTAACGAATCAAATCAACTGCTTAAAGTTAAGACTGGCTTGCAAAAAAGGGCTCCGGGCTTTCAGGCAACCTTGATCTGTTTAACAGTTGCCCCAAATGGAGAACAACCTGAAAATATAACAGCTCTCAGTTTGAACTCTTCCTATGGTTTGTAAGTATTTAAGTCATGTTTATTAATTTGAAAAGAATCCATTTTTTTTTAAGTCTTTTATCAAGTATCAAGTTGTGATCAAAGTATCAAGTCTTTTCTTTGATACAAGAAGTAAAATTTATTCCTTAAATAGAAATTATTTAATTTTAGAATGGCTTATGGAAACGAGTCCGGTTTGGCCATAATAGACATTGTGCAGAAGATATCTTTGATTGTGATAAATACCACAGACATTGGTAGTAATATGGATCCGTGTCAACGTGTGTTACGCAGTCCAAAACGCCAGGATGATTTGAAACGGGAGAACGAGGACAAAATGAAAAGTCCAAGCACAGATCAGGTAAAATGTATTTCTTTTTTAGTCGAAGCCACTTTAACTATTCAGATTGTTACTTTTCTCATTCTCCATAATCTTGTCCGATGAGATATCTTGGAAATTTTATATATTTAAATATATATGCATTTCGCTTTTCCTAGATACTAAAATTAATGGTCTTCATTATATTGCATGAGTGTAAAAGAAACTACATACATATAATTTGAATGTTCGATTTGTTATTAAATTTGTAATTATCAATTTTGTTTTTTTGTAAATATTAAAAACTTCAGTTCTGAATAACATTGTAACACTTCAACTTTTTTAAAAGTGTAAAAGTAGACGAGTCGTTAAATAGTCGTAGGTCATTTTTCAAGAATAGTTTCCCAGTATTAATTATCTAAAAAAAAAACCGATATGGACGATATCGTGTGACTCTTCTCAGAGTTGATTATTTGGAAACGAACACCTTCTGCTACCATAAATCATCCAATTTATCGAAACAACTAACGTATCGTATAATTTAATAGCATCTGACGAACATTATTACCATGCTTCATATTTTATTTGCATCATTTTACATATTATACGAAATGAAAGTACTGAATATTAAACGGTTCCCGATAAAAATAACAACTAATAGTGCCAAGCTAAACATCTAACAGCGGTAAACTACAATTCTATCTATTAACATTTAAAACATGGTAAAACATCTAATTTACATAAAACTAAATATCAAATACCAAATAGTTAAATTTGAACTTTTTCAATTTTTCATTCATTTGATCTTCTTGAACTTTTAATTTTTCTGTGTTCTTTTTCATTCATAAGACCTTTTTACTAATTCAACCCATTGCTTAGCTAGAAATTCTAATAATTAAGTAAGTGTATGGTCATTATACTGTTTTCATAAATTCCAAGCAGAAAATTTATAACATGTATGTCATTTGTTGAACTTCAAAGGCAATATGCCAGATATTATTCTACGATTTCGCTTTACCGTGTTTGTTTATACAAAGTTTCTGTTTTACACAAAATTGTTACGCACATAGACACACATATTTTAACCAAATTTTGTATGTAGATGGACTGCAACTAGTTGATACATTGCTTTATTCTAGTTTTTGATATTTTATTTTTGTCATTATAGGAGACGAAGTGCCGCTTGCATTATCTAAGATTATCAGGTGTTCCTTAAATACTGCTGGTTTTAAATTCATATTTTTATCACGATAAAATTTACAGTGATTTTTAAACACTTGAAAGTGGTCGAGTACAATTTTTATCCTGAAAAATCAATCCAGCCATATATTTTCTGCTTGGAATCTTAGAGGTACAAGAATTTTAGTAGAGGAAAATTGTATATAAACACGAATCACGCAGTTTTAAACGACAAACGAGAATGTTATCGGCAACTAGTGGTCAAACTTGTCATTTTCCATTTGCCGAGAATTGAAATTTAGTTGTAAAAGATTTATGTAAGTCCCTTTTATTAAGAATACTTTTCCAAGTCACGCATCGGAGAATATACAATGATCGATATTGGGTAAATTTTATATATACACACATATGTACGCACATACGGTACACACTTATTCTTTTCCCTTATTCAAACAAAAAGGAATAATGTATTCTTTATCATATTCATGCTTATTATGCATTTAATGTTTAGCTAACTATGTGTCTACCTACGTTGAAACAAGTAAGAGAAAATTATTTTTCGTTAAAGAAACAGCTAAAACTTTTTTATTTTTTTATTTTATGATATGCGGCATTATTTTATTACGAGAATAAAGAAACTCGTTGGAAGTAGGTAGTGAAACAGTAGATGATACTCGAGTTTTTTCCGCTAGCTTTCAGCTGTATTATAGAACGTTCGATTGATGTTGAACATGTAGCAAACAGAGAAACAAACGGATGACACAATTCGAAATGTAGCCCTAATTACTAGAAAACTATCATCGTGATCTTGTATACTGCTTTTAATGACCCAATGAGACTTACATACCAACTTACGTGTGCGTCGGTTTCAACATAAACGTTTTTGATGGAGTCTGTGCATGTACATAGAAATTTCAAGTTAGAGTTACAATGATACAAGATATACAAGATGGCCAAACTGAATATATATATACATTTATTATTACATATTATACATCACAACATTGTTTGTGTATCAGATGAAAAAACCTAAAACAAAAAGAAAAAAAAAGTGCATGGAGAAATTAATGGCAAAATATGAATGTCGAACAACGGAGAAGTATTTTCTTTTTCTTTTCTCTTTTTTTTTCTTTTTCGCAATGTATAATCAAACAAATAAAGACATCGTTTGACATGTTCCCTTTATATACGCACGTTTTGCAGAATACATATTATCGCACAACTGACAATTTCCACGTTACTACTGTGTGCTTATACACGTGTATGTTTTGCTTTTACATTGCGACATTTATCGAGAGGTGAAAAAAAAAAAAAAACACATTTTCACTTGGAGCCTACGCGTGCAAAATTTCCCAATGTTTAGCTATTCAAACAACGTTCTTTGTCTGTTTCAATTTGTTAGACGATGAAAAGCAACCGAACATAATTAATATTTCTTAAAAGAGGTTTTCGAGAAACATTCTTGCCATTCGAATTTCTTTTACTCTTTTACCATCTCGACGAGGTGAGATTTCACGAAATCTCGATGGAATATCGTTCTCTACAGTTATACGAAGTGTTACTGTTGTCGTTGTACATGCAACATGGACTTGCGTTTAAAGCTTTGTGCACAAAATCATCGATGCTTGCGATAAAACAATACAGGTAATTCTCGCATACCATAAAAATGAATATCGCGTTGAAGCGAAATTCTGGTTTCAAATGAAAGGAGGATGTTAAAAACAGGCCAATTTTGGCATACGGCCGGAACGAAAAATTTTTTTACAGCATGATTCTACGCATCCTAAGGAACAAAAAATGTAATTGCCATTTTTCCCGGAAATGATGGGAAAGTTATGAGAAATGCGGTTCAAGGTAAGAGTATGACCATACTTATATTCCGTCTCGTTTTCTTCGGACGATGGTCTGTTCGTAAATTAACCACTTAGAAACTCATATTGAGTATTATTTACAAAGATTGTTGTACATTAGTGTTAACACAATGCTTATACTCTAAGCAATCAGAAACCAATGATTATTTATTCTAGAAGTGATAAAAGTTATAATAAACTATCGTAAATATAATAAAATAATCGCCATGACAGGGATACAATAAAAAAGTAAGACTCTAACAGAATTTGCATTTGACGCAGTGTCCACTCGCGAGAGATACTCTCGAGAGCAACTCGCGATAGTTTTACTGTGAAAAGGACAGCTAGCTTTATGTTTAGCTCGATGTACGTACAGCGACCCAGGCTCGCGTTTCTTATGTTTGGCTCGCAAGAAATATCACGAGTTCTAAGAAGTTAAGGCCTAGAATTTTTCCCAGAACAGTTGCGAGCGTACAGCGATCGTAAATCGGGCAGGACGACTCGTCCTCAGTCGGTGTTTACGAGGCAGTCGAACGAGTGCCTCGACGAACGACGAACGTCGTTCATACTGCGCGATTATAGTCTTGTAGGGAATACATCGAACAACGCGTTTTCGATTATACGCGGATTTCCAATCAATTTACGTACATAGTATATTCGTTCGTGTGAATTAAGTGCCGCTGCATACAAGAAGCTAGTGCACCAAATTCAAGTATGTACACAACGAAGAGCTCAGCTTGGGAGAAAAATCAAACGAGAAGCGTGTCTCTGCGAGCTACACAGCTACGGTTTCGCGGTATGTGCATGCGTGAATAATGTGTATGTATATGTGTATACGTACACAATCGAATGATTGAGTTAATTGAAAATTGAGGATAGCCTACGTATAGCTTATTAGATCAGTTACTGCAACAATTTCGTTTTATCGTATCCTAAGTTTATTTTTCTTGTAATAAGATGTGGTATAGCTATGAAACAACAACAAATTAGTTTTTTTTACTGCTGTCTCCTCGAGACATATACATATTCTATCCTTTTCTGGAAAAACACTGTCTCTTAGTAAACAACTAAGTCTTTACACACGACCTACTTTGTTTGTTATTATTCTAACGACAATATACGACAATTGACACGCAGTGTAGATGATCAGATTTCAGTTTTCCGTTAAACCGGGGGATGGTTCCCAACTACGCGGACAGTCGATGTCTCTAAACCTACGCGTAGCTCGACAGAACACTGTATACATGTACATATATGTTTAGGCTGATACGTAAGATAATACTTTTTCCTCCGGCTTTCATAGTGGATACACAGTTAAGAAATGCAAATTCTGTCAGAGTTTTCCTTTTTTATTGTATCCCTGCCACGACGATTATTTTATTACATTTACGACAGTTTATTATAACTTTTTTCACTTCTAGAATAAATAATCATTGGTTTCTGATTGCGTAGAATATAAGCATTGTGTCATCAAAGAATTCCTTGTTTCGATTAATTTGTCATTAATTATTTTTCATTATTTTTGGTTTTTATTAAACACTAATGTACAACAATCTTTGTAAATGATACTCAATATGAGTTTCTAAGTGGTTAATTTACGAATAGACCATCGTCCGAAGAAAACGAGACGGAATATAAGTTATAAGTATGGTCATACTCTTACCTTGAACCGCATTTCTCATAACTTTCCCATCATTTCCGGGAAAAATGGCAATTACATTTTTTGTTCCTTAGGATGCGTAGAATCATGCTGTAAAAAAATGTTTCGTTCCGGCCGTATGCCAAAATTTGCCCTTTTTTAACATCCTCCTTTATTCGGCAAAATCGTACAAAGTTTAATATGTTATTTTCAATTTTCAAACTGTGTTATACGAGAGTTACCTGTATTTCAATGGTAATCAGTTACGTACTTTATTCCTTACAATTTTTGCACAAAGTTATCCTAATGGTAATTGTTGTATTGTAATTGATTTATATTTGAATTTACCATCAGCGGTTATAGTAGAGAGAGAGTATATATCAGTTTCAAGCGATTTATTCGTTCCCAAATTTTTAAGAGCAGAGTAAATATGTGTGTTTGTGTGAGTGTGTGTGCATTACACGTATGTATCATACGCTTGCAGCGTATATAATTGATTTAATAGTAAAATGATTACAAACGTTAGCGAAGTATAGCAAAATGTGAGGTTGCACACAGTATCAATTGATTGAAATGAAAAAGTAATCAGTTTGGTATTTATAGAGAGCTCGAAAAGTAATATTTGATTTTACAATTAAAAAATAAGGAAGCACAGTGTTGTATGATTAATATGAAATTTGTAAGGAGGAGTTACGAAATGTTTCAGCTACGTACGTATATCACATCGATAAATGACAGCATTAATCAAGTGATAACATCGATGACAGGTGATTTCAAATTCTATTCACCTATATCCTTGTACTTACACACGTAATAATCGGTAAAATAGTAAATTCAAGCATTCCATAGAATTCTAATATACATACTTTACGTATATTTAATCAAGAATTCTTTGGAATGTCTCCAGTAATCTTAGCTTGTGATAAGTTCACTAGACATATTTGAACGATAAACGAAAACTAGAATGTTGCTATTTATTGAAACAGTACAATATTGGTAATATCAGCTTCAGTGGTATACTTTTGTATGTAAAATGCTTCTGTACCATCGAAAACTTGCTTGCTTGAAATTTGGGTAAATATCGATAGAAAGAAGAAGAAAAAAAAAGTAAAATTAATTTACGTACATATTGCACACACAGTCACACACGCGCTCGCTCGCCTAACTGTAGCTAAAAGTATACACTTATCTTTGGGCATTTACGTATACGCAAAATTTCTGCATATAAGTAACCATTTTTCAATATCTCAATTTTTCGCTATTTATACACGAAGTAATGTGTTAAGTATACTTTAAGTATCGTGTTAGCATCGGATATTCTGTAGACACCCTGTATGGTATAAGTTATGCTAAAACGATAATGAGAGCTTATTCAGAAGTCAAGTTTAAGTTGCAAGAAAAAAAAAAAAAAAAAATTAGCGTTTCAAATAACTTTGTATCGCCAATGATAAAAATCTAAATCGTGCTTTTTCCCTTTGAATCTGAATTTCTCTGTCTCTTGAATTTCTGAAGAAGCATTTAATTCTGTATATATATTTAGATTTACTTTAATATGCGCAAAGAAAAAAAGAAAAAAAAAAAACAAGGGTGTTAGGTTTATTAAGATAATTGTCTCTATGAGCATCTTAGGCATTCATTGCATTGGATTATCTTGAAAATGTGTAACATGGGTTGGACGTTCTTTTTTTTTTTTTTTTGCCTGTCTTCTTCGGTTTCCAACCTCTTTCTCTCGACAAATTGCGCTCATTTGGGAAGTGACAAGTGACCATATGTTTGCGATATTTCATCGTTTGAGAAATTGAAATTTCAACCATATCTTTATAAGAATGAATTTATACACGGTGCACGGGATTATCGATATCTTCCGAAGATATATTCACTAGATAACAGGACATACCGCTAAATGATAAGCGTTAATTTAACATATTATGTATACATACTAAAAAAAAAAAAAAAAAACAGTGCTGTATATTATATACGCATACAGAAAATCATCACACGATAAAATTAACCCGCTTCTAGAATTAGAATTAAACAATCTTATGAACGCTTCACTTAGTACGCATTAATTCATTCTTGAAAAATTCAACATGTTAAATCCGTCAGACTCATCGAGACTCTACCGTGGAATCTGAAGGATTATTAGCAATGGTAGCCGAGAATGTTCAACAGCCGCAGCAATGCCCGCTTCGCGGTGGTGATACGCAAATTGGAAGCAATAATAGTAAGGAGATCGCGGAGGAACCTTTAAACGAGACCAGTAAGCCTGGTTGTACAACGAACGAAGAAGATTGTGTGAAAAATCACGGTTGGAAGGGACTCAGACTGAAGAGGCAGCTCAGCAAAGTTGATCTGAAAATAAAAAGTACTTTCTCACCGGGTTTGGTGACGTCTCAGAATGGGGTACTTGTATGCTTTTTCATATCCTTCGAATTCTTAACGATCGCGCAGTTTTAACTCTAACATATGCAAATTGCTTCTTAATTTTTCTCACTTCTGTTTCATCGAACTTCGGTATCTGCATGGTGTTCCTGGAGAATTTTATCTTTAGAAAGGTCAACGTCGCGTTACCTCGATTTCTAATCCCGGTGTTTCTGCATCGAGAACTTTGCTGTGATAATACTAACGAAAAATTGATTCGCTACTTTTCTATGTGTCTGTAACACACTTGGACACTTTAAGAAACGTTTGGACTTCTATTTGCAGCAATGCTTTTCTCCATTTCACGATAATAATTTTCCCGATTAACGAGATCTATCGAAGAATTGTTACCCACTATCGAGAGACGTAGATGCAAATCGTGGTTAGAAAGTGAATTTCTTTAGCGAGAATGCGTGTGCGAGACTGGAATAAGTATATACAAGTACCCCGTTGTTAACAGGTAGGCACTGATAGTAGCGGTCTGAAATCTTCCATTTTTTACTGTAACGTCAACGAAACCGTGAGTCCGTTGTCTCGAAACGAAAGTGTCGTGTCGGAGTCCCCGTTGGTGGTAGAAGGCTCCTCGTCGGCACCGGGATACGATAGTTCAACGAACGACTGTAAAAAGAGGGAGATACAGCATCAGGGGAAGAGTGTGACGAGCGAGGGAGAGAACGACGGCAAACCGACGATCGCGCAATCTCTGAACGAGAACGCGATCGGACGATCGGACGTTGCTGCTGCTGCTGTAAGACCGGTGAATTTGTTGCTCGCGGAGAACGAGCCGAAAGCGCCTAGATTGAAGAAAATCGTGAAGATGAAACAATCGAAAAGGGAGGGTCGTTTATTGTCCGTGCCGAATTTAAAGTTTGCGAAAAACGATCCGGCCGTATGCGACCTAAGATGCGAGGAAACGAACAACACCGCCAGCGAATCCTTCACCGGCAATCTAATAAGAAGATTCAGTAAGTGTTTCAAATTAGAGTAGAGGAGAGTTTTGTGTTGTCCGTCTGCATTTAGAGATGTGATTACGTGTTAGAGATTAAACGTAACATTTGCGAATGCGAGCGTATATGCGTGGCGCGTGTATCGGCGTGATTGGTCATGATGTTACTAACAAAAAAAAAAAGAAACAATCATCCTCTTTTTGAACTGCAACGTGATTATTGCGCTCCACCGGACCTGACGGATCAGTTCTTTCGGTCAGGAAACGAGAGATGTGTCCATTTTAACGAGAAAGCGTATTAATAGAATTTAGGCTAATTTATACGGAGAAGAGCTCTGCTGTGTAAACACCTTCCAACTTACCGTGCTTCTATCGTTCTTTTTTTTTTTTCTTAATTTCACGAAAGACGGCCTGGGATGCTCGTAGATTCATCTAAAATTATTTTTAGCGATAAACAGTGTCTACGTCCTATATCTATTATCGTAATCTAGATAAATACAAATATATATACAGGGTGTTCGGCAATACAGTTGGTAGAAAATTTAAGGGGTGATTCTACAAGCCAAAATAACACGAAAATCAAGTATAACGAAATTGCGCTCGAGGCTTCGTTTTTTAGTTATTAACATTCCAAATTGTCTGGGTGGCCAAGAAACACCTCCCTGCACCAACGAGTGTAGGGCACGTGATGACCGAGGGTGGGGGGAGTATAGTGATCGTCAATTACCAACGAGGTAAGCTGCCATAGAATGAAGAGTGCAGTGGTAACAGTACTTTTGATACTTTTGTCTTTTTTCTTTTTTTTTCTTCACATAAAGTACAAAATTGAAACGCATAACTAAAATTTTGTACATCGATGTTCTTTCCCATTAACTTAAAAACGACTACATCTTCTTCTCAACAGCACAAGTACGCTCTTTTTCCCATATTTTTCGCCAAATTTCACGAGTTACCTTTAAACATTTTAGGCACTTTTACGCCATTCTATGTAAGAAACAACACGATCAAATTTTAAAGGGCCTCTCTGTACGTTGTTAAGTATTTTTCGTTACGTTTTCATTAGAATTTTTCTTCAGTAAAATGTATCTCCCCGACAGAGTTTTTTAAATCCATCTTTGTACACAAATCTGCATATTTGTTTTTTCTTTTATTTTCTGCCAGAACTTAACAACGCAATTTTGCTACCCGTTCAAATTCACTCGTAACATGTACAAAAGCGTTAGAAACTCTTTCGATGGTCACTTCGGCGATTGTTTGTCGAGAAACAACAAATGTACGAGGTAACCATGTTTCTTTATCCTCGAGTAACTTCCAGTCCTGGTACACTAAAACTTTGGCGAGTGCCGATAAACGACGTTTACGTTCGTATTGATAATTATCGACAGATGACCAAACTAACTCACATACATCTGAAACCTAAACGCGAGAGACAAGAAAAAAAAAAGAGCTTGCAAAAGTAAAAAGCCGATTGCGTTTATTAGACCCCTGAGCTTCTCCCTTTCGTAATTGGTTAGAAGGATCTTTGTGTTTGTGCATGACTGACGCAGGCCTTGCCACAGTAAGGATACCGTTAAACAACCTGGTTCTTTTCGCTGCACACTTTACAACGAAAGTAGAATCCTTTCCCAATTTCTCGCGGAGCATGTAGCATCTATTTTTCTTTCGACGTGATAGAAAAAGTACGTTGTACGTACAGGGTGTAAAAAAATTAATGGTCACGGCTTCAGGGGGTGAATCTACATCCCTGGATCGATGGACATTTGTAAAAGAAGTTTCCGCAAAATTGTTTATAACATTGAAAGTTAATGTTAAACTTTTTTTTTTACATCAACGTATTCTGCTCGACGAGAAGAGAAAAAGTCTGAAAGGAGCCATATGCCACAGACAAATAGTTTCCGAGATAAACGTTGATAAAGTTTGGCAACGATTTGATTGCGTAGAGCTATACGTATAGGACCTATTGACCTACTAACCTACTAGCGCTCTGCCATTTGGTAGGATCTAGCCGTGTAGGACGCGCTCGGTATAATGGTGTACGTGCCCCTACGCAAACGCCGTTTAAAGGGACAGCCAAGGTCTAAACACGAAGGCAGGCGCCGAACCAAACGGCGTTTGTGTAGGCGCACGCACACCATTATACCAAGCGTGTCCTACACGGCTAGATCCCACCAAATGGCAGAGTGTTAGTAGGTCCTAGTCTATACGTATAGATCTACACAATCAAATCGTTACCAAAATTTAACAACGTTTATCTCGGAAACTATTTCTCGTCGAGCAGAATACGTTGATGTAAAAAAAAAATTTTACATTAATTTTCAATGTTGTAAACAATTTTGCGGAAACTTTTTTTTACAAATGTCCACCGATCCAAGGGTGTAGATTCACCCCCTGAAGCCGTGACCATTAATTTCTTTACACTCTGTACAGCTACGAAAATTTGGTTTAAACGAGAACCATTTCAATTTGGTTTCATATGGAAATTTCAGTTCACTTCGAGTTTATCATTACTTTTTCCTTTCTTTCTTCCTTCTTTGCTTCATTTCGATCATCAAACCCCCTATATATCCGCAAACTAATCATGATTTGTAAAAATGTCTTAAAATAATTTGATCATTGAAAATTCGTATAAATCACCGCTTGGCATATATCTTTGGATTAAAATTTTTTAAATACGTTTCACAGGTGTAAACTATCATCTTAAACGACGTGAGAGCACAATTCGTGAGTTTAAAAAGCATTGCCTAACCGTGTGTCGTTGTTTTAAAAATGAAAGGATACGAGGGTGAAATTGCGTGTGAAATACTTTTCTTTAACACCATGCTTTTTGCTGCTTGTTCTTGTAACTGATTTTAATTCATCTTCTAACAATCTTGTGCTGTAACATACATCTTGCTAAATTGAAACGTGAAAGATCTCCAAAAGTACACACGATATAACGACGTATGTAAATGTTGCAAGAGAAAAGGAAAAAAAAAATGGAGGAAAGGAAACGATAGTATCGTTAGAAAGTTATGTGGAATAAAAATGTTGAAATTATTTTTGATCATTCGAAAATGTAGGGTCTAATATAAGAGTCAGTCAATCTGTTTTATTAACGCCACTCGACACTTTCTACAGGGTGCTCACATTATTTCTAACACAGCGTTTTTCTTGTAGATAGCAAATATACAGAGAAAAAAGAAAAATGGAAGTGAACATATTTTGTCTCTTAGTTTTCAATGGAAAATAATGTTCCTTCGGTGAAACGAGATTGTAAAAGTTACTATACTATTCGGAATCGATTTTCGAAAATTGTCCTTTCAGAGAGCAGACTCTTGAGATTAAAAAGAAAAATAGTTGAAAATTTGTTATTTGGGACTTAAAGTAACGAAGGAGGACTAATTAGTTCAATTGGAACATCTTTAGGGCTTAAAGTAAAAAAAATTCGCACAAAAATATATGCAGTGTGTTTCTCTTTTAACTGGAAACACACTGAAAAAATTGCTATTAAAGTTATTCACCGACAAATTTTTTCTTTACAAATATCCACCGATTTAGGGGTGTAGATTCACCCCCTAAAGACACGATAATGAATTTTTCTACACCCTGTGTACAACCGAAGAGAAAGTGATTCTTTGTGCAAAAGTAAGTTTGAAAAATGTAGAATGAAATTTGTTGTATACGAGGCATTGGTTTTGGAAAAGATCAATTTGAAAAATTCGCTCGTATATACGTTCAATTTTTCTAGATGTTTGTTCCCACCTTATATAAGCAATGTCTACATGGTGATTCGATACGACTGAGTGAACACAGTTCGATATTCTCGAAAACTGCGCGATCAGTATTAATCATTCTGGTCTCGAATATTTTTTTTAGGTCTGAGGGACCTTTAAAAATTTCTCTAAGGGTTAATCTTCGTTCGTTTCGTCCTCCGTGCAGAGGATGAAATCAGAGGGGTTCATACCTATAATTAATGTACAATGTGGCTTATAGAGTGTGGCAGCTGAATATTTTCAAAAATATCAGTTATTTTTGGAGATTTCAAGGTCACTGTCTATTCTTTAACATGCATAAATGTATTCTATCGTTCTGGTTAATCCAGTGAACACACACGTTCGTTCAAGGTGGCTAGGTAAGGAAAATTTGCAAACTACCATATTACGTTCGATTCGTAATAAGATAATTATGATTAGAACGTTAGAGTTGCTTTTCCTCTATCTACAACCTTGATGTCCAGGGGTGTCCAACTGGCGGCTCGCGGGCGGCGTGCGGGCTCTTTCTGCCCTTTGCCTGCCCCGTAGGGCAGTGGAAGAACAGCCCCCTCCATATCTACTTTACTCTAACGAAACTTCTCCTCCGAGTGTCGCACGAGCCCCACCGTAAGCGGGCTAATCACCGCTACATACACATACGTATATAAGTCCCTTGTTTGTAGTTGACACACTACGAGGGCCGTAAATATGTAGTGGGACTCGTGCAACTCCTGGAGGAAAAGAAGTAACGGAATCGAGAGCCAGACTCGTGTGGCTCTCGAAGGTGAAGAAGTTCGACACACCCCTGATCTTTTGACTGTGGTCACCGAATTAGCCTAAACGAGAGGACTACGTTTATGTTCGTTTAAAAAATAGAGTTGTTGACGTTCCGATGCAAACAAAATCAAATTATCTTCATCAAACTTCAAGAAGAAACAAATAGTATCTTTTTTTTTTTTGCTAATATTTATATACACACATATATATTCTAATTGTATTGCGACATTTTGATCGGTGCACATACAAGCTTGTATCCCAGTTTGTACGCCTTGTTCGTTCCTAGAAGATATTTGTTTCTGTAACAGCATATCTGTACTACACCCCACATAATTAGGTACACCTACGAGTATTTGGAATGCCTCTACTGTACGTACATTGAAACCACATGTCGTTTGTTCTTTGTACTCTTCCCTCCCTGCCCCCCCCCCCTTGCCCCCCGCTCTTTTATGTGTGAATTTTCAACTTGTATAGACAAGTGTTATCATTTCTTTGCGATGTTTCATCCCCGAGTTTTGCAGATGATCAAAGTTACTCCTTCGAATGTGTTCCGCAAAACAAATATCACGAATTCACCGAGATTGTTCCTTCGATACTTTTGAAACCCACAAATCTACCTTTTTTGAGCGTAAATAAATCTACTAACTGAATGTGAAGAGATTCTACTTTAACGCTTTTTCAGGTTCAAATCAGTTTTGCGGTCTTCCCCGACAGCAAGGTTGATTCAGGTAAAAAAAACAACGATTTTGCACATTTTGACAGTTGTCTTTATTCACCGAGAAAAAAAGTATATATTTCTTGCGAGAATTTTGTACAGATGATTTCTAGGTAACGTTTAAGCGCATAATAATCGCCTCCGTTCTTCTTCTTTTTTCTTTTTTTTTTCTTCTTCGTTCTTTATCTTCTTTTTAAAATATGTCTTTGGTTACTCGCATTGATCGCAATTTAGATGCTGTATAGATACATCGACAGTTTGACGTTCATAAATCATCTCATACATATGTACATGTATACAGGATGTGTCGCATAAAGTGATCACTTCGAAACTACTCGAAATAACTGGCAAACTCTTTTTGCAGTTTTTATGGTTTCTCGATGTGTCTCCTCCTCTTGCTTTTTTTTCCTAATAAGATCTTTGATACAATTTGTTTCATTTCCGGATAGGTCAGTGGTTTAACAAAACAGAAAACATTTTTTGTCAGACCTCACGTTTAATTCTTCTTTCAGTTCTTCTCTCGAACCATGTTAGTTTTCGTTCTTAAAGGTGTAACCACGATTTTATCTCTAATAAAACCACATAACAATTGATTCCACATTTTTCGTTTAAAGTGCTTCAAGCTTCGTGTGCAGTTTGATGAAAGACGTCATCTTCTTGAAATCATGTTGTTCTTTCTGATATATCTACAACAGGGGCGTCGTACTGGTGGCTTCTTGCAGAGGAGAATGGCCCCTCCATACCTAAGTATTGTGTGGTGCTCAGGAGTTTGCCCTCCGGGCGTCACAGGGGCAAAAATAGTACTTCACTCGCACCGTCTAAATCTTCCGCCACGCGGTGCTGTATGATCCGATTCGTCAATGTTATCGCGTTCAGCCGCTGATGACAATACGTGTGCCTTATTTTTATGATTGTGTTAGAGAACGTAGCCTTACGGGGATACGACTTCCAGGAGTAAACTCCTGAGCTCTGCACAGTACTTCTCCTTCGGGTGTCGCACAAGCCCCACCATCAGCAGGCTGATGGATATATGTCCCTCGTTTGTAGCTGACAGTACCAGGGCCATAAATATGGAGTGCAGTGCCGTTCGGCGCGACTTCTGGCGGATTAGGGCGCCCGCGGGCAAAGCTGAGGGCGAAGTCGCGGGCTAGCGATGTCACGTATTATACATTAAAGCAGAGTGGGGAAAAGACGCTTGTGGTTTAGGGGTATAAGTCTTCTTAAGACGAGAGCTTAAGTTGCCCGAGAAGGCGTGGCTTCTTGCCCGCCGATTTCTTTATGCCCGGGGTAGTCTAATACGCTGCCCGTACGGGCAATGACTGAACGGCACTGGTATAATGGGACTCGTGCAACTCCTGTCGGAAAAGAAGTGACGTTCGACACCCCTGATCTATGTACAACATTCAGAAAAACTTTTTGGCCAGGTAAACCTTATTTAAAAGACCTTGAAAAGAGAAAAAAAAGGAAACCATAAAAATTGCAGCAAAATGTATTCGCCATGTTTTATCGTTTCTGATATACCGCTTTATGCGCTGCGCTATGCGTGTGATTGAGTGTATGTGCGTGTGTACGTGTGTTTTTACAATGATTCTGATATGTGTTTAAATTACGGTATAGTATCATAGGATCTTAACACCTTTCTCTCGGTACAATAACGCTTTTACAAGGCTGCTCGATATTTTTTCCATAATTTGCACGCAATAGCAATAGTAATAATAATAACAACAACACGGATGGTTAGGACATCGTTAGTGACAACAGGATGCAGAATCATTTCTATATATATACATATTCTTTTTTTCCTTTTTTGAATGCGTCATCGATTGTCTTTTAATATAATAGAGCTGACAGCGCTTTGTTGCTTATGTTTCTCCAACTTTTTCTTTTTACTGACATTGACTGACTGCTATAAGAGACTCTGCATAATGTATACTGAAATTATTCCACATAGCGATTGTCCAGAAATAGCCACGGTACAGCAAACAAATGTTTTCAACCATGTTTCAGTTTATTTCGATATTTCATTGCAAAATTCTTTGCAAATCCGTGATTTTCGTGCAAACGGTTAGGTAAAAATGACCTGAACAGGCGGGAAAAATTTCTTATCTCGTGATTTCCTCGTGAAATATAATTTTCGGAAAGTACGATCTGGAGAATACAACATTATACACGCTTATTGATTGCTTTCTTATTCTTTTCGTTAAGTGTCTACAATTTGTCTTTTTTACCCCGAAATTCAGCATTTTCTTCTTTATCTTAATACTTGGATTTTCCAGAGATTCATTATGACAATTTTTTAAGCCACACTTCGTTTCTCTACACTCTTGCGAGTTTTTGTTAAACAAAAACGAAAGCAATATAATCAGGGCAATTGTTCTAATATAATCACTGTAAGTATCTCGTTCTGTCAACGAGCATGAGTGCCATTTTTATTTTATCTATTTGGTTCCAAATGCATCTGTTAGTATTAAGATACTGTAAATCGGGCCGAAGAACAGAATGTTCTTATCGAAAGGTTTATCAAGGCATGTGAAATATATGTTCATAGATATTGTATTATTTCATGAAAACAATACAATATATAATTAAGCATTTCTTGCTAAGTATAACAAGGGACAATTACCGAAAACGTGAATCTGTATCTTCTGAGGGATAATTCGAAAATTATAATTATTTGGTCGACATTCATTTTCATTTATACATATTACACTGATCATTAAAAAAAAGTGACCATTTCAAGTTAGAAATTGCAAAGATACTTTTTGACCGATCAAATTGCTGAAAATGTTCAATTTCATTGCTAGACTTTTTGTGTATTGCATATCTTATTATTTAACACACAGTTGGGCGCAAAATAAGCGGAAGAGTTTTATTAATTTGTTAACGCGACGAGAATAAGCACGTTGATTAAATGTCAGCCGAATAATTAACATTCGTGAAATTTCTTACGTTGAAAAATTTTTTTCCAGCGACAATAAATTTTACTACTATTTCCTTCGTGTGTAGAGGAAATATTTGGATATGATGGAAGATGATGATATTATAATATTCGAAAGGGTTATCGAAATATTCGACATTTTTCAGTTACGTCAATTGTAATAATTGCGACAATGTTTCTAGAGAATATCATTTGTTTCTTATCGTTTCTTCTTACTTAACAAATTTTTCTAGGATACGGATTACTTTACCGATTATTCCGCAATTGACGCACACAATGTCATTAGCCTTTCCTCGGAATGTTGAAAAATTCGTTCAGCTGAAACACTTATATTTATCCAATTTGTGTTCTGCAAGTTAACGCTGCTACTTCAATTTTTTTTTTATCGTATTCACCGTGAGTAACGCGATACTTGAATAATAATATTTGGGAAACTGACTTTCTCTGTGAGAGATTAAGATAATAGAATTTTGTCTTCTAACCGAAGAGATCGATAGCGATGGATTCGACGAAGAGAGAAAGTCTTCTTCTTGAAGGTGATATTAGAATTTGTGCAAATGTTTAGGGAACTGAAAATTGCTCACAAGAAGAGGTCACAGCTACTGTGGTTTCACTAATTTCCATCAGACTTTTTCTGCTGAGTCTACAATGAAAATAACCGGACCTTCTGTGTCTATCCAGATGTATATTAGGAGTGTTAAAGTCATAGTGGTGTAAGTCACAATTCCCAGAAATTTCGACTTACGAGCTAAAATGCAACCTACAAAAAGACAAGTGAAATAATTTATAATTGAGACAAACTTTCTGGTAACATTAAACACGATACAGTACCAAATTTGGTGCTGTAGAATTAATTTGATCATTTCTAACAACATTCTCTGTTTCTCAGAATAAGGAAGTTGTGACTTACACCATTACAACTTCAACCCCCTGATATAACGAGTCTATTCATTTCCACTGTAGGCTCATTAAGAAAAGAAAAGAAAGTCCCGATTGAAGTGAAGAAAAAGCCCAGAGCCGTGAGCTCCGTTTGTTGGCCGAACAGAATATCCGTTGATATTTTCTCCATATTTGATCTTGTCGCTGATTTGTAGATGAACGGGATGTGCATGTTGCCGGTAACGCGAAGAAGTACGGTGGTCGTTGGTGGTAGTGGTGGTTGCGGTGAGAAAAATGACAACGCCGATGGTAATAATATCTGTAGCTCCTCCTCCTCCTATGGTAACACTGGTGGTGATGGTGGTTGCGATAGCGAATGTGCTATCGGTGTCTCCGTCCCTCGATCGAGCATTCGCAGTACTATGAACAGCGTCGATGACGATGTTACCGGCGCGATTGCTACTTCTCGCAAATCGTTCACGCTAGAGCCACGTCTGTCTCGGGCTCAGGGTATAAGAAAACTCCAGAAGTGTCTGAGTACCACCACCAACCAATATGAGCTGGATTCTTCGTCGTTGAACAACTTTCCAACAACTTCGTTATTCTCTAGTCACCGTAGCACCGAGACACGAGGCTATTCGTCGACTACTACGCAAGCTTCTTTCAACTACCAGAATATCCTCTCCAACACCAGACAGTATAACAGCTTCGGTAGTATTATTCAACGAATTATCATTTTAATACGTATAATTGCTATATACTACTACTACTACTACTACTACTACGTAGATCGTTCATATATACTTTTCTATGTTACTGAATGAGACAAGTCTATTGTTCTTCTCTAAATGCTTTTTTTCTTCGTTCGTTACTTTCGTTCTTCCTTTGATTTCATTGTCAATTAATAGAACGATTATTCTTAAATAGGTTCGCCGCGATTAATGGAGACCAGCGTTTCTTGAACGGCCGCAACTTCCTATACTACTACGTCTATCCACCGGAACGAAACAAATCGAGAGGAACTGTGAATGTTCGCGCGGAACGTATTTAAATCGAGTATATTGAAATTTAGTTAATTCGTTTTAAAGTCAACGGGAATATTTTATGAATACGTTTAAAAATAGTTTTTCCCATGTTGTTTGAAGAAATTTGAAACGTTCCCCATGCTTAAGCGATCGTTTATTTTCAATCTAAACTATGGTTCGTATCATATTTCACGTTTGAACCTTTCAAAGAGAGTATCATATATCACGGTATACACTGTGAACGTTTTTATTCAACCTTGTACTAGTCCATATCGTTACCAACCCCTTAAAATATTCAAAAGTATTGTAATACAGTGAAATTCCAAAAATGGTGGCTGTTTTCAAGATTGGTCTTCGTTATCGTGCCCTTCTTTTGCTATGTCTAATTGATAAATACTGTCTGGTCTCTGCTGTGACTTGAGTGTGGATATATATATATATATAACTTCGGCAGACTTTGTTACTCTGCATCACAGTTTTCTTTTCTTTTTGTCTTTCTTTAATTTGTTTTTTTTCCTAATGATCTGTTCACTCGCTCTTGGTCAAACCACACTTTCTCCAAACAACACAAAATAGCACCATCATCCAATTTGCGTGATATCTAGTTCTCACTGCTGCACCTCTGATGAAAGATATCTCTTTCGCGTTCTCTCCGATTTCCATCTGTCTGCCTCATTTTTCAGTTGGCTTCTTTTTTCTAATAGATCTGTGTGGCCCTAACGGCAATACGTTCAGTTCAGTTTCTCGCTCAGTGTACACTTGGTGAAACATCGAGAATGCACAGGATGTTGATAAAGTAAATGAATTAATGGTATTAATTTTTCATAAATAATAATTACACTTGCAAACAATAAATTAATTTTCTTCTTACAGATATTCGTTTAAAAAGTGTTCCATGTTAAAAAATTGCACAGTAAGAGGAGAAGTTAATTCATGAATTTATGAAAATCTTGTGCATATAATACGTGGATACATGTATACTGAATTCGTTTTGAGATACTATAGAAAGTTCAGGGACGTGGAAAAATGCCTTTTTAGTGCGAACTGCATATAATCATACTCTTGCTACTAAAGTTTCGTTTCTTCTTCTATATAGAGCGTGGATTGTTTAAGTTATTTAAAGTCCGTGTATATTTTCATTTTTAACAACAGGTCATCCTTTATGTTTAAAGCTTTGAAGTGTCTCTGAGAGTGTGGATTGTGGCGAACGAGCTATAATTTCGTTGCTAATGAGATCTCGTTGCTTTGATCTTTTCTATTAGTCGTATACATGACAGTATTTCTATCTGTTTGATCGATATATAGGATTTACCAAATCGTATTCACAATGGTTTCACGTAAATAGAAGGAACTATTATAAATGTAGCGAATGGTTTTATTCAACGATGATCTACACCAAACAGAATGGAATGAAAGTGAGAGATTTACGTGATTGAAATTTAATTTTCTATTTTTCTATAATTTGCGCATGATGAGTTGGCACATAGTGGTGTCCGTGATGTATCCGCTTAAGATTGACTGATCTTTCTTTTTATATTACAGCTCTACAACATTATCAACTTTATTTTTTTTTCTTCCGTTTCGTTTTCTCCTTTTTTTTCTCTCTCTTCTTCTTCTCTCTTTTCTCGTGTGGCGTTCTAACAAATTTTTCGACAGAATAGATACACATCCGATCGACTTGATGAATGTTGAAATAAATGAGAGATTTTGCTCTGTGAATTGTTATATCATGGTTATTGCTGTCGCTGTTATTATTATTATTATTGTTGTGTGATTATTGCTGTTCTTATTATTAGTATTATTACACTGTCCGAAACATCTGAGTTCTCTTTCACACTCTGACCGACTCTCTTAGCGACTTTTTCGTAACTCAGAGAACTTTTAACATGTCAGGGATGTTTATTATAATAGATGTTGCATGCTCGTCAGAAACATTCCCCTAGAAGAACGTTTACGTGTACGGTATTTAATTTTTCATTTATTCTTGGCATTGCTGGTCGGGTAGATAAGTATGACAGTTCGTTTCAACGGTCAAGGAGTTCGAGCATGTCGTCGCTCGAAAATATCACCACAGAAACCATCAGCTGCCTTACATTTGCAGATTCCTACACGAAAAAGAGCGGTACGTATCCTCTTTTTTTGCCTTAATTTTCTACAAATCTGAACACTTTCGCAGCCAATCATAAACGGAGAGTTTTTTTCAAGCTGAATCGTTTGTGAATAACGAGACACCCTGTATATACCTCCATAATGTAATATAATAGGCTGCGAATGCGTTAACGAAATACTTTTTTCGTTTATTAATGTTCCTATTAATTTAGTTTATTCTATTCTGAAGATACTAGTCCTGCACCAACGCTTTGGATCGGTACATCTTTAGGATCTGTACAAACGGTGATATTTAATACACCAGCCCGTGCAGAACGACTTGCTTATCCAGTCGTTGTTTCTACGTGCAGTAAGTACCTACTGTTTGCAATTTAATATAAACCTTATTAAGAACAGGAGAAAGAGAAGGTAACGTAATTTCATGTTTATTTTCCGTAGATGGATCTACGTTTAAATTAAAGGGGTGCATTTTATCAATATTCTTCTTAGACTGCAATGGTGCTCTCATTCCATACTCATACGAGTCCTGGAAAGACGACGGTATGGAGAGTAAAGAACGCAACAGTATGTTATATCGTATCAAGTTTTACATAAATATACCGTAAAATAAGAAAAGATTATTTAACTCTTTGCGCTTCGATATTGATCGGTTAAGGCCATTTCTTCGTAGACGCTTTCAAGCGTTCACAAGCCTTGCTAAACGAAGCTTGCATAGGTAACGGTTTCACAGAGAGATAGATACAATAGGCTTACAGGTAGGCATTTCCGAACCTTCAAGCGTATTCATTACTGTAACGTGATATTTGTTTGTTTCCTTGCGGCTATACGCTCCCCTAATCTTTTCTCTTACTACAGTACAGATTTTTTCAAACAGTGCGATACAAATTAATTTGTGTGCGTGTGTCTATGTCTGCTGCGTGCCGCTGTTAGTCTAATGGGCGTAAGTAGCTTAGAAAGAAACGTTAAAAGTTTTTAGGCAACAGCTGCCAGACTTCGAACGATATAGTAGATTCACCCGTCAAAATACATTTGCTCTCCAGAATAGCAACTTCTAGCACCTATATAACGCTGTGTACGTGATGTAAATAGATATGAAAATAGTATGTACATACTTCTACGTATTGTGAATTCATTTATTTACTTAAAAGGTACATAAGGAATAGTTGATTTTATATTGACGAACCATGAGAATGCCTGAGAGGCAGGCGTGCTTCGATTAGAACAGCAGACAGTCTATACTTGGAGCACAAAGAGTTAAAATACGATTTAGTCAAATTGTAAAATGTTTCGGATATGATCCTCGTAATGTCATATCGTCTTTTTGATCGTTACAGAAAGCCAAGGTAAATGCACAAACAGCCGGATGTCTCCTTCGATGAACGCGCAAGTATCTACCGGAGACGGCTTCGAAGATCGTCAATTTGTCGTACTAGCATCTGAGAAGCAAGCGAGGGTTGTAGCACTACCGTCGCAAAATTGTCTATACAGGCAACAACTGGCTGAAAATCATATTGTGATCAAAGCAGAGATTACATCTTTAAAAGGTATGTGTCACGGATGGTACAAAATGTAATATAAAATAGCAATGTTATCAAATTAATACAAAAAACTGGTTGTTTTTCAGATAATGTATGTCTCGTATGCTACGTTTCAAATGGGCACATAGCCACATACAGTTTACCAAGCCTGAGACCACTGATCGACGTCGATTTCCTACCACTTATAGATTTGAGGTAAGACAAATAATTATTTAAATTAAATTAGCTTTGCAGGAGACTAATCATTATAACTGCACATGGTATATAATGCACCATATGATATTGTAACACTGCAACACTTTATATACATTTTTAAAGGTAGCATAAAAAGCATTTCATATTAATATGATTACTTTTTTGGCAAATACTTTTAATTAACAACTTTCGGAGTATATATACTGTAATGGAAAGAAATAACGATTTTATGTAGATACTGCATACGTTAAAATTTTAACTACTAATCTTTTTCTAAGCATTTGTATTTTTAACTAATTGAAAGCTTTAAAATATACATCTGCACTTTTATAATGTTTATTAATCTTTTATCTATCTTTCGGTTCAACTTTTTTCTATCTCGAACTGAACACGAGATACAAAACCGGCCGAATTGCGTGATGCACCCTGTATACAATAATGGAAGACTATGCAATAGAATATCTAACGGAACGGAACAACAGTATAGAATTTCATTAAAATGTATGCAGTCATATATACAGCCTTATTATACTATAATACTATACTGCTGCATTATAATCATATAATTCTTACATTAATTACAGAAGAGTTTCTAATTATAGTTAGAAACAAGTAAGATAGCTCTTTTTACTTGAAGGGGAGACTTTGACCTTACTTTCAATATAACGATTGCTCTGTTTCTCTTATATTTCAATTCTATGGCATGAATTACCAATGTTTTTCTTTTTTTTACTTATATCATTGTGCATCGAATCGATTATGTACAGAATTGATTATACAAATATGTATCATCCGTGTATAAAACTAGAGTTGAAAATTCATTGATTAGTACAGTTTTTAGTCACATTGATAAAAAGTAGATTGGTATTCTATTTTAAATAATTTAATCAATTATTCATCTTTTCGATAAATTAAGTGTAGTCGTGATAGTGTTTCAATGTTTCCTGTTTTGAAAGATTATTGCTAGTAAATTTCAGTTATAAAACCATTAGGATATGTTAATATCTTTGAAATTTGATAACTTGAAAACGATTCCATTTTACATAGCGATGCACCACGTATTGTGTAGTTAAGTGAATGTTGTATAGATGTTACTTTACATTCATTTAAGTGTACAACATCGATATCTCTAAATATAGAAAGCAATACTAACATCTACAGCATGTAACTTCTTTACTATAATTTACGTATATCCGTTAACCCTTAATACACTTACAGCATGTTCTATGTAGAATTCTTTATATCAAGCACTTCGACTGCACCATTTATATCTTTCTATAGTTAACTAACAAAACAGTTCTCTTACTATTATCCTATTTAATTGGCCTATCTAAAATCTTTTCCATCTGAATTAATAGCAACTTTGCATCTGCAACTTGTATTCTCTTCTTTATCTTCCTTCTCCGTTATGTATGTATAGTTAACAGTAAGAATATTCATATCCTGATTAGTGACATAATTAATTATTACGCAGGAGGAGTTCACGCGTTACGAAATGTTTTATTTATATCGAACAAAGTATTAATTATGATTTATATTTATATGATTTACGGATGATTTATATTTCAGACATTAATAACACGGTTTTATTTTTTTATCAACTCTGTATTTGTGAAATTATAGAATTACCAAGACGTGCGTTAACTTTCGTGACGCATCAGAAAATTTTCAATCATCTTTCCATAACGAAGAAAGTCAGCGTTTGATTTGTACTATTGTCTATTTTATTTCGTTACGTGAAAAATTGTAAGTGTCTTGAAAAAGTTGATTGACGTATGTTTGAAATTGATAACTTTCAATATGTTAATAGAAATAATATTAATTCATCATTTTGACTAATCAGAGTATGAATATTTTCGCAGTCTCCTATATTTCACAATGTATTTACAAATAATTGTTGTACAGCAAGACATTTTGCAAGCAACGATTTACATTATCATTATTATTTTCTACCTACCATTATTTTCACATCGCCTTCTCTACATGTTTAGAAGAAAAAAAGAAATAAGAAATAAGAAAAAAACTGGGATTATTGTATATTCTCGAACGGAGATGAATATTTTTGGAAATCCATTGAAAAGTACAAATGGTCTCAATGTTTTAAGGGTTAATGCTAATTATACGAATTAAAAATCTCTTTTTACTCGTGTATGGCTTATAACGTTCACTTTTCTCCTGTCTCTATAATCTCTAACAGTTTTCAGACTACAAAACATGGCATTGTAGACCCCATGTTGTCCATATGGGGTCATCAACTCTTTGTTAATGGCGATACCGATCAGTAAGTGATCTATAAAATACACCTCTCACAATATGTATTCTATAAAACAATGCCTCTCGTGCTATATATATATATACATTTAATTTCTTCTTTGATGTATCATTTCAATTCCTCTGCTTCTTTATCACTTCATGATACGTGTTTAAAACATATTTAAACTCGGTCGTTTGCTTCGATCTTCATTAAATATTTTTATTAATCAAGGTAAAGCTTATTTAAATATCTACATACAAAGCATAAATTTTGTTCAATTTCGATATTTATATCCCAGTCCATTCACATATGTATCATACAAGCGTCGAGGGAAACAAACCGGACGTTGTAATAAGAGTTTTGTGTCTGTTTTACAGAATTGCAAAGACACTTTGCTTCAGCAACAGGGGTCACGGTCTATATCTCTCGTCTCCCACTGAGATTCAAAAGTTTTCCGTATCCAGTCAATTTTGGTACGTTCGCATATCCTCAATAATAACTGTATTTCGAAGTAATTCTTTCTCCTAATTGCTACTTTCAAGAATTATTGTTCCCTTTTCACCTCAAAAGAATCTTTTTTTTAAGAGTTAACTATGATATTTCCAGTGGTGAATTAACTGAAATGATGGGAGACTTATTTATTGGTCACGATATGCCTGAACCACCGAAAGAAAGTTTCTTTAAAGGCCTCTTCGGCGGAGGATCACGAAGTCTTGATAGGGAAGAATTATGTAAGTTTATTATTAATTTGGTCTCTTCTCTTCGTTGAGATAATATCTCTATTGAAAATAGAGATAATAATCATTTTCAAATACTTGATTATTGCAATTTGCAATAAACTTGAGAAAGAAAAGTTCAAAGCACCGAAGCTAATAATCATTTTCAGTTGGCGAGTCTAGCGGTCGAGCTTCGCGCACTGTAGCGAAGCATATACCAGGACCGAATGCCGGTGCAGAAAATCTACGCGAGCGCGTAACAACCGCGACGGGTGAGGTAAATATGGCTCACCAGATGGTGCTCGAGCGAGGTGAGAAATTGTCGCAGCTCGAAGAACGTACCGGGCGCATGATGTCGGAAGCTGAGAGCTTCTCGCAGTCTGCTCATGGATTGGTGCTCAAGTACAAAGACAAGAAATGGTACCAGCTATGAGAATATCATTTCAACATTAGCCGGATTTGGAATGACGCACGATTCTATCGTAATTTAGCGTTCACATTTCACCTATGAGTTCTGTCATACTAAGGCTCGACAACAACTGGGTAATTGCGAACTTTACACGCACACATAGGAAACATGTTACACGAGAAAAAATGAGAGCTGTATGCGTATGTGTGGTGCATGCATGGCTGCCCCCCGAGTGCGTGAGTCGTGATTGCGTGTGCGCACGTGTATTTCGGATTAGGGACGAAAATGATGGAAGGAAGAGAGAGAAGCGAGGAACCAGCAAAAAAGGATACTTTTACAAGTAGCTAATACAACACACGCACATTCATTCAGCAAGGGATATATAGAAAAGAAAGAGACGCATAGGACAGTATAAACACGACTAAAATTAAGAATATATATATGCGCGATTTCTTTACAAGTACACACATACACACGCGCGAAAACACGTCGCACACGCACAGATAAAAACGTATAAGGCGAACGGATCATATTATAAACCAAATGGATAAAACAGTGGAATGGTTGCAATGAAAAATTAAATGAATTATTAGCGTATATAGGTTATATAAGATCTAAAAGAATAAGTACTTAGGCAAGTATAGAAAAGATGATTTAACTACTTGCGAGTCAATATATACAACTAATGTAACAATTCGCCTTTTAACCGACGGCACTCGTTAATCCATTCGGACGTCCTGTAATAAATCGTTGAAGCACGAATCGGTATACTTTGTCTTTGCTTTGAGAACAAAAAAAAAAAAAAACAAATAAATATATGGACGTCCTGTAATAAATCGTTGAAGCACGAATCGGTATACTTTGTCTTTGCTTTGAGAACAAAAAAAAAAAAAACAAATAAAAATATAGAAAAGTAAAAAATATATATATACATATACATACATGCACGATCAAAAAACGCATACAAGAATAATCCCATCGTTCAAAATGGTAAAGAGATCTAAATTTTAGAGGGTATTAACAAGAGTCTGTTGTTGAAGGTGCAGCGACGTTATTCCGAATGTATTGACAATAAACGTAATTAATGAATTCAGATGATAGCGCATTATTAAATGTTGAATGCAGTATAATATATAATTTATCCACGATGTCGGATTCCCCCTTGGGCTTATGCGCTGTGTGCAGTCGCATCGTTGATAAATTGTATATTAGTTGTTATTAATTGTAGTTATCGTTAGATATGCTATGTATATAAAGGAACAAATGCAGTAGGGAAACATAGTTTACGTTGAAAAAAAGAAGAAAGAGCTGTTTGTAAAATAACATGTTGTAAGTTACGCTACTTCAGCAGTCGGTGATGAATTCAAAAGAATTTGCGATATATATCGATGAGTACTAAGAGGAGAACTACTACTGTAATTTTAAAAAAATTATACGTAGATTAGATTACGTAAAAAGATAACACACACAGACACACGTGCATTAGTACTTGATGATGTATGTGTATGTATAATAAATTCATTTGAATTTATCGAGGCTCTGAATCGTCGTACTGCTTCCATAGCAATAACTGTATAGTTGATGTTAATGGTACTAATCACCTGCATAAAAAAGAAAACTATTAGAATGTGTCCTGCAGAGAATTAATTAGATTGCAAATTTCTTCGAGTTAAGTGAACGACTTGATATAATTTTCCTCGGACAATATACGCAAGTAGAGATATTCGTTCGTAAAGTTTTAACCGCCGTTTACACCTTTTTGTCACCAAATGTATTTACTATCGAGTATTAGTACTGTCGTGGTTTACGGTAAAACAGTGTGAACTTATATTCATGCGAAAAAGTTGTTCCAATTTCGGGATCGTGAGACTCACGTAATGCCCGCGCGCGCATATATGTATATATAACGTGCACAAGAGAACCGAGAATAATTTTTAATTCTACCTTTCGTTCGTTTAGAAACAGTTTAGCAACCGGTATTTTCGTTCGCAAATAGCTTTGATCATCTTGTTAATTCTTCGAGCTCGATGCTCATCAGATTTTCTGAAAACATAAAGGAAACCAAAAAAAAAAAAAAAAAAGTAACTAGTATTGTATCACGATTATACAATATTTAATATAAATGGAGAGACTCATGGTGATATTCAATAAGAAAGAGAAGACGTGGAGAAATCAGTAGTGTATAATGCGGATGTCCTTCTTCTCGGATCTTTTGTGAAAGTAATGACAAGTTGTTTACTGCTCTAACAATAGAATATTAGTTAAATGTACGATAGTTGCAGACAGAAAACAGGAAAATACATTATTATCTAAGTGTTTGATAATATAACATATTCTAATATTTGTTGTGTAAAGACTATTGTTTAGGTGAATCTGAATTATTTATCATATCAAACAGATTGAGATATGTTTGAAAATAATTTATTGTAATAAAAAAAAAAGAGTATTTAATGCTAGAAGAGAGAAATGCAGCAAATGAGTATATACAATGTTATCGATTGAAATTTCTATTTAATCTTTAAACAACACAATTTTGTTGCGCTTCACGAATAACAGACAAAGGCAAACATTTATTCTATATTCCTTCGATCAAATTATTATCACACAAAGTATAGATTTGTTACATTGCAAAATTAGTTGAATTATCGTCTAGTTGAATTACAAATCGTTTTTACGATGTTAAAATTGTTGCTAATTGTTTCGATAAGAGGGAAATAATTATTAGTTTATCTGCGAGTGTCTAGATACAATTTTTTGCGAACCGATTCATTGTTCTATCTTTTCGGAGAAAGTTCATTTTCTCACAAGCGTACGGCGCGATCGTTTTGTGATGTCCTTTTCGGTACGTTCCAACGAACAGAGTAGCTACCTCTCTCATTCGCTATATGTCCTTTGTATCGAATGTTCATCATCTATTCTGTCTAACCTATTTCGATGCTGTGGCCTGAATATGTAAATCTAATATTGTACATGAAATTTTGTCCTTAGATGCAGCGAAATATCTAATACTCTCGATTTATACTATTACTAATCTAGTACAATTCTTATTTTTCAAGAAATATAATACCATGTTATTGTAAAAGTACTGCCTCGAGGACAGACTGTATCTTGGCTCCGATTAATAAATGAGTTTGAACCAAACCAAGTTTCTTCTCTTGCTGTTCGTTAAATACTATAAATTTTCACAAGTACTTATTTCAACGATTATTTTCTTCAAAATACCTTGTAACACAATGAAACAGTGTTAATAGTCATTCGTTGTCATAATTTTCTCCACTACAAATATTCTGCATTTGTTCTTTCCTTTTTTTAATGAAATATTAACATGAATTTTATGTACCACAATAATGCAAAGTTATTTCAACTTCGGTAACCCAAAAATTTCTATTTTTTTTTTCAAAATTTGCAGGTTTGTAGAGAACCTCGATGGAAGTGTCAAGATTTTTTTTTGCTACTTTTTGATTCTTAATATTTCCAATGATTTCCTTCGCTTTCACATAGTGTTAGAACGTATTATCTAATTTATTTTTTATTTATCGAACAGAAATACAAGATGAAAGCTAATTATTTTTAATATCTGCGGCAGAAATTCAAACTTGACATTTTCTTGAAAGCAAATCTAAGTGCAAATTTGCTGCAACAGCACAAGAAATTAGGCTGATAATACTTATATCAGATCCTAGCGGATTGCTGTTATTGACACCAGCCATGTAATTAAACTAATTTCCCCGTTTCTTCCACGGCTAAGATAGGCATCGATCTGGAATAATACATTACCGGGCTTCAATTTTTTCCCTTTTGTTTATTCTTCTTACCCTTTTTCTATCGCTGTAAAGGTGCTCTCAGCCACACCCGCCGCGTACACTTCTCATTTCCAATTTAAAAATAATGAGAATTTACTGCGAATAGGTACCGCTGTCGCGCACAGGCACTCATTGAGTTTGAGCGTCTCGCTTGTAGGTAGTGGAATGAATTGAAAAAAATTCAATTTAGCGTCAGTATACCGCATCTACCGCCTTTCCTCACCCTACTCTTCAACTTTTTCCTCAGTCCTTTCTATCTTTAACCCCTTTTTCCCTTAGAATAAGCTATGGAACACCGAATGCACCGCACACTTCAAAAAATTTTCTAACGCTCCTGACAAACTGATTCTTTCGTTTAATCAGAAATGAGTGAATTTTCGCCAAAAAAAAAACAAATGTCATTTGTTGGTAAAAAGGATCGAATTCTTTCGTGAAATATAACTTTCTAGCGTAAAGTTTAAACGTATAGAGCGATATCGGTGAGGTGTCGCCGTGGAAGAAAAAGAATTTCAGCAATCGCGAGGCGAAGTTCGAAAAAGAAGACCAAAGAGGAGATGAGAAGAAAGAGGAACGAAGAGAGGAGTCTCAGCAGTCTGTCTTGGATAGGCGCAATAAAATGTAAATGCGCGTTGATTTGCGACCAATATCGAGAGTTAGATTCACCGAGACACTTTTCCTCGGTTTGTTCGTCTCGTGTCCAGATTGACGCAACAGTGAGTAAGTGGCGAACGTTGGAGAGAAACTGTATACGAAACAGGCCTGTCTGCCTGCCTGCCTGCAGGCTCCTGGCCGCCATTTGCATGAGTAACGGTGGAGCCAGGAGGTTAGACTAGCGAGACGAGTAATTTATAGTCAATAATTCACATCGTGGCAATTTTCACATCGAGCGCAAACGTTTCCTCCGGAACGAACGAGGAGAAATAAAAGGAGGACGAGGAGAGGGAGGAGGAGGAGGAGGGAGAGCGGCAGAAGGTGGAGACGCGGCGCGGCGGCGGCAGGAAATGAGGCGGAATGTTAAATAGCTACCGTACCCTTCCCCTAGCCTGTCATCTCGAATATCCCTTAAATTGCACGTGCGAATTATTCCTCACGGAACTACTTATTTTCTCGATATCTCGATATAATCCTCCACTCACAATTATTCCTTTGTCATTCCGAGCGAATTCCACTTCTAACCCCTTTTCTTAATCTCGTACACGTACTTACTTACATATGTTTCAGGTTAACTTTATCGCTATTATATTCTTACGTCCACGAGATTTCGATGTTTCGTAATAAAAACAGATTAAGAATGAAAGAGAATGGTACGGAAGATAAGGAAGTATTTAAAGCGAAACAGATAAGAAGAATCATATTATTCGGTTGTTTTGCCTTTAGAGGCAGAGTAGAGAAAGGAAAGTATGTATGTGTATTCCTAGGAGACTCGATATGACGACTTTTCACACTTTTATTTATCAGTCAGCGGCACACTTACGTGAAAAGTTTAAGCTTGGGTGTGAGGAGCGGTGAAGATTACCTGGGGCAACATAAACCGATACCCGACGATATAAAGGTGTACAGCCAATATTAGATATCAAGGCATCCGCCTTAGCTTTCATCCGCCATCGAGTATCCCACCGAGAGCTATCAGACTGATAGAATATGTTCGACGTTACCGCGCTACCCTTCCCCTCTATCAATATTCCCATCTATGCGAATGTTGTGTGTAGCTACGGTTTATTTAAAGTAGCTTTTATCGCGAACATAACTGACACCGTGAATTCTTCAAGGAACGCAATCTCACTGTTATATCATTATACAATGTCTGCAGAGGCACAGATAATAGGATTTTGCAAATTATTTATTTTGTATTACTACACTCTTCGCGTTTTATATACACAGGGTGTTCCACGTAAAATTTTCCTTACACTTTGCAGAAAATTCTTTTAGACGAAAGTTGAATTATATTTATTTGAAATTTTGTTTGAATAAAATCACTGTAAAATAAATATCACCAACGTCATACATCGATAAACTGTTGAAGTATTAATAAACGTTGCAAATTTATGATTTGTAGGGAGCAAATTTTAACATCGACAACATCCTTGGTTAAGAGAGAAACGGGAGGGGGAAATATTTATAAAACCAAGGTAAATTCAGCGAATCATTAGGTTGAGACGAAGCAACGCATTGTCCACAGGTTTTTCAAACAAAACTCGAAGCCAGACTAAACCTATCATCTTTCTGTTCATTATAACAATTACGCGACGGTACATGGGGAGCCAGCGAAAATAATGATTGAAAATAACAGGAATCATATAAACGTGTAATCATGTAGCGTCGAAGCGTACCAGGGTTTGTCGGAAATGATCACAGATTTTAGGGCAGTCTGATCATCCAGCTCGAAGACAAGCATTACACTAATGACTTCCATTATGCTAAGATTATAGAATTATAACGCTGTTGCGATAAATTATTTGCCTTATCGCGGTCATTTTTCAGCTTACCGAAAAATTTAAATAAATCTCGTATAAATAGCTACGTTTAATTTGCTCCTCTGCCAAATTAAATTGAATAAAGAAAAGATACTAAAAAACAGGAATACTCAAGCATAATTTAAATTATGCAAGAAACCTATGCATACATTAACGCACATAACCTTTACCTAAAAATGTGATGAATTTTTCGAAAGTACTAAAATTATTATTCAAAACTGACTTGTTCTCTTATTTTATTAATCAACGCAGCATTCCTAGAACGCGTACGCATTTCAAAGTGAGGACAAATAATGTATAAAATTGAAGTGATTTTAAAGAGTTTATAGTATCTGGTATGACATACGTATTAAGAAATGCAGAAGCAGGAAGTCATATTATAACGATGTACAAGAAGGAAAAGGAACATTTTTTTAAATTAGAAGGAATTTTTCAATTTTACCGTTCATTATACGAAGATTACTATCCTACTTGAGCTATGTATACGTTGATGCGTAGTTTGTCGTCCTTTTGCTATATAACGAAACTGTTGTGGTGAAGCAAACGATATTGCCACAGGAGTCGGTAATATCATTTACGGCGTCGAATGTCACTGTCTTTTCTTCTCTACAACTTGTACGAAGTAAGGTATTGAGCATGTGATGTTACTTTTGAGGATCACTGTACGCCTCGTTGTCTAGACGTGCCCTATATTTGTTTGTGAAACGCAAAGCATCAAACGCAATTTCTTTATTTTTGATTTCCGCCTTTTTTCGGCTTCTAGAATCACCCCTTAAATTTTCTCCCAAGAATGACCTAACACCCTATGTAAATAGAAACGAGAATAATAACGCGCACTTGCAAGAAAAATGGAGGGAAACATTAAGACATCTGACGGTCACTATTAGAACTACGCAATTATTTGAACTTGGAGAGCGCATGCGCGATTGGGCCCAGGCATCCAGTAACGTCGCAATATCATTCTTTTAACCTCATCTTTGAATACGAACGACAAAGTATGTAAATAAATGTGTAAAAATTTATAGAAAAATTAATTAAATTAATGATGAATTTTTGTTAAACAAATATAAACCTTGTGCATCGTTTTTATAAAATATATCGAGATACACTAAACTTTCAGTGCTAAATTTTAATGTGTTTGTTCAGCAAATACGTATGTACATATCATATGTGACAAAATATGCTCAAAAACGTAAACTGTTTTGCTATTATTTTATTAATAATATATAGACAGTATTGTATAATTCAGTTTATTGCAATATAATCTATATACTGAACTGCATGCACACACTACATTGTATGCACTATAGTATTATTTTCCGAGGTAGCTTTTCGATTCACACCAAGCATTAATGTAACAGTTGTTTTCAAAAGAAACAATTGCACTATCTATAAGTTATTCAAAAATATGTATAAGCAAATGAAGGTTTTCTCCGAAATTATTGTTTCAATCATTCTCTAACTAATAATATTTAAGGAAACATTCTAGATTAACAGTATTACAATTTCCATTGAAAAGATTGAACTTGTAAAAAAATTCTTGCCCTTTTGTGAATATTTTTCTTTCTTTTCTAAACGTGATATTTTTTTAAATATAATTTACATTAAGTACAGAGATTATTTACATTAAGTTCAAGATCTTATTAACGCAATAGCTTGCAAAAATTTATTATTCTTCTACTTCGATCAATTCTTGTCAAATGCAATAAACACTGGAAAGAAATTTTTATTGCAAATATAGCGGGGAATTACTTCCGAGAAATAACCACCGTCGTCTTTGCTACAATACTGAATTTCTTTGAAAGGATTTCACGAGTCGTAAAAGTCAAGAGTTATTACACATTAAGTTATCTGCTGAATTTGAAACGCTATCGCGAAGGAGGCGTAAAACCTAATTTCTGATTACACGATTTCTATGGTCATCTTAGACTGCAAGAAGTTTCAGTTTTCTTCTTCGAATCACGCCTACGTAGGTAAAATTCGATTGAAAAAAGGAGCACGTGTTTTTTTTTCTTTTTCTTCTTTTTTTTTTTTTAAAGAAATAAGTTCTGATATATTTCATTTTAATAAGATATCAAATAGCGTTATGTAATGCAGAACAACAATAATAAAATCAACAAGTTAACAGGGGTTTTATAGTACACAATTCAAAGAATAATGAGTATAAAATTTCGATTGAAGTGGAAATTAATTATCATATAACATGTTCAACGCATAGTTAGAATCCGTTCTCTATATAGCCAAAATTTATCCAGACATTCAAAATGTCTTAATTCTAATAGTAATAAAATCATACTAATACTAACAATAATAGCAATAATAATTAATAATAATAATATCTGATGTAGAATAAAATAAATCTATTTACAACTAAATATCTGGCAAATACATTTTGTGCTTTTCCTCGATACATATCGTCATTAAACACAACAAACTCGCAACGCTACAAAATTACCGGTCGATTACTAAAACTTTGGTTACGTAAAAATATAGACGCAATATTCAACCCCCCGTCATGGATCTGTTGAACTTACGCACACGCGCGCCTATTTTATCACTAACAATAAGCTTCACTTGCCTCGTCGAAAAAAATGTTCC